CGTCCTGACCGCGTAGCTCAGTTGGAAGAGCATTGGGCTAGTATTCCAAAGGTCGTAGGTTCGAATCCCACCGTGGCCAGGCATATTTTTGAAGCTCGCCCGGTTTGGATATGCACTCAGACAAACATCGCAAACATATTATTCACCTGAGTACACAACACCAACACAGAAAAAAATTCATATTACTAGAACACATTGGTATTGAAGGAAATAGATACTGTTCCGAAATATCACTTACTGGAACCGTCCTGACCGCGTAGCTGAGTTGGAAGAGCATTGGGCTAGTATTCCAAAGGTCGTAGGTTCGAATCCCACCGTGGCCGGGCATATTTTTAAGCTCGCCCGGTGTGGATGTGCACTCAGAGTATCATCTCAAACATATTATTCACCTGAGTACACAACACCAACACAGAAAAAAAAAATCATATTACTAGAACACATTGGTATTGAAGGAACTAGATACTGTTCCGAAATATCACTTACTCGAACCGCCTGACCGCGTAGCTCATTTGGAAGAGCATTGGGCTAGTATTCCAAAGGTCGTAGGTTCGAATCCCACCGTGGCCGGGCATATTTTCAAGCTCGCCCGGTGTGGATATGCACTCAGAGTAACATCGCAAACATATTATTCACCTGAGTACACAACACCAACACAGAAAAATTCATATTACTAGAACACATTGGTATTGAAGGAACTAGATACTGTTCCGAAATATCACTTACTCGAACCGTCCTGACAGCGTAGCTCAGTTGGAAGAGCATTGGGCTAGTATTCCAAAGGTCGTAGGTTCGAATCCCACCGTGGCCGGGCATATTTTTCAAGCTCGCCCGGTGTGGATATACACTCAGAGTAACACCACAAATATCATATTCACCTGAGTACACTACACCAACACAGAAAAATTCATATTACTTGAAAACATTGGTATTGAAGGAACTAGATTCTGTTCCGAAATATCACTTACTCGAACCGTCCTGACCGCGTAGCTCAGCTGGAAGAGCATTGGGCTAGTATTCCAAAGGTCGTAGGTTCGAATCCCACCGTGGCCGGGCATATTTTTCAAGCTCGCCCGGTGTGAATATACACTCAGAGTAACACCACAAATATCATATTCACCTGAGTACACTACACCAACACAGAAAAATTCATATTACTAGAATACATTGGTATCGAAGGAACTAGATTCTGTTCCGAAATATCACTTACTCGAACCGTCCTGACCGCGTAGCTCGTTGGAAGAGCATTGGGCTGGTATTCCAAAGGTCGTAGGTTCGAATCCCACCGTGGCCGGGCATATTTTTCAAGCTCGCCGGGTGTGGATATACACTCAGAGTAACACCACAAATATCATATTCACCTGAGTACACAACACCAACACAGAAAAAAATTCATATTACTACAATACATTGGTATCGAAGGAACTAGGTTCTGTTCCGAAATATCACTTACTCGAACCGTCCTGACCGCGTAGCTCAGTTGGAAGAGCATTGGGCTAGTATTCCCAAGGTCGTAGGTTCGAATCCCACCGTGGCCGGGCATATTTTTCAAGCTCGCCCGGTGTGGATATGCACTCAGAGTAACATCGCAAACATATTATTCACCTGAGTACACAACACCAACACAGAAAAAAATTCATATTACTAGAACACATTGGTATTGAAGGAACTAGATACTGTTCCGAAATATCACTTACTCGAACTGTCCTGACCGCGTAGCTCAGTTGGAAGAGCATTGGGCTAGTATTCCAAAGGTCGTAGGTTCGAATCCTGCCGTGGCCGGGCATATTTTTCAAGGTCGCCCGGTGTGGATATGCACTCAGAGTAACAGCGCAAACATATTATTCACCTGAGTACACAACACCAACACAGAAAAAAAAATTCATATTACTAGAACATATTCGTATTGAAGCAACTAGATACTGTTCTGAAATATCACTTACTCGAACCGTCCTGACCGCGTAGCTCAGTTGGAAGAGCATTGGGCTAGTATTCCAAAGGTCGTAGGTTCGAATCCTACCGTGGTCGGGCATATTTTTCAAGCTCGCCCGGTGTGGATATCCACTTAGAGTAACATCGCAAACATATTATTCACCTGAGTACACAACACCAACACAGAGAAAAAAAAATTCATATTACTAGAACATATTGGTATTGAAGGAACTAGATACTGTTCCGAAATATCACTTACTCGAACCGTCCTGACCGCATAGCTCAGTTGGAAGAGCATTGGGCTAGTATTCCAAAGGTCGTAGGTTCGAGTCGTGCCGTGGCCGGGCATGTTTTTCAAGCTCTCCCGGTGTGGATATGCACTCAGATAACATGGCAAACATATTATTCACCTGAGTACAGAACACCAACACAGAGAAGAAAAAAATTCATATTACTAGAACATATTGGTATTGAAGGAACTACATACTGTGCCGAAATATCACTTACTCGAACCGTCCTGACCGCGTAGCTCAGTTGGAAGAGCATTGGGCTAGTATTCCAAAGGTCGTAGGTTCGAATCCTACTGTGGCCGGGCATATTTTTCAAGGTCGCCCGGTGTGGATATTCACTCAGAGTAACATCGCAAACATATTATTCACCTGAGTACACAACACCAACACAGAAAAAAAAAATTCATATTACTAGAACATATTGGTATTGAAGGAACTAGATACTGTGCCGAAATATCACTTACTCGAATCGTCCTGACCGCATAGCTCAGTTGGAAGAGCATTGGGCTAGTATTCCAAAGGTCGTAGGTTCGAATCCCACCGTGGCCGGGCATATTTTTCAAGCTCGCCCGGTGTGGATATGCACTGAGTAACATCGCAAACATATTATTCACCTGAGTACACAACACCAACACAGAAAAAATTCATATTACTAGAACACATTGGTATTGAAGGAACTAGATACTGTTCCGAAATATCACTTACTCGAACAGTCCTGACCGCGTAGCTCAGTTGGAAGAGCATTGGGCTAGTATTCCAAAGGTCGAGGTTCGAATCCTACCGTGGCCGGGCATATTTTTGAAGGTCGCCCGGTGTGGATATGCACTCAGAGTAACATCGCAAACATATTATTCACCTGAGTACAGAACACCAACACAGAGAAGAAAAAATTCATATTACTAGAACATATTGGTATTGAAGGAACTAGATACTGTGCCGAAATATCACTTACTCGAACCGTCCTGACCGCGTAGCTCAGTTGGAAGAGCATTGGGCTAGTATTCCAAAGGTCGAGGTTCGAATCCTACCGTGGCCGGGCATATTTTTGAAGGTCGCCCGGTGTGGATATGCACTCAGAGTAACATCGCAAACATATTATTCACCTGAGTACACAACACCAACACAGAAAAAAAATTCATATTACTAGAACACATTGGTATTGAAGGAACTAGATACTGTTCCGAAATATCACTTACTCGAACCGTCCTGACCGCGTAGCTCAGTCGGAAGAGCATTGGGCTAGTATTCCAAAGGTCGTAGGTTCGAATCCCACTGTGGCCGGGCATATTTTTCAAGCTCGCCCGGTGTGGATATCCACTCAGAGTAACATGGCAAACATATTATTCATCTGAGTACACAACACCAACACAGAGAAAAAAAAAATTCATATTACTAGAACATATTGGTATTGACGGAACTAGATACTGTTCCGAAATATCACTTACTCGAACCGTCCTGACCGCGTAGCTCAGTCGAAAGAGCATTGGGCTAGTATTCCAAAGGTCGTAGGTTCGAATCCCACCGTGGCCGGGCATATTTTTCAAGCTCGCCCGGTGTGGATATGCACTCAGAGTAACATCGCAAACATATTATTCACCTGAGTACACAACACCAACACAGAGAAAAAAAAATTCATATTAATAGAACATATTGGTATTGAAGGAACTAGATACTGTTCCGAAAGATCACTTACTCGAACCGTCCTCACCGCGTAGCTCAGTTGGAAGAGCATTGGGCTAGTATTCCAAAGGTCGTAGGTTCGAATCCTACCGTGGCCGGGCATATTTTTCAAGGTCGCCAGGTGTCGATATGCACTCAGAGTAACAGCGCAAACATATTATTCACCTGAGTACACAACACCAACACAGAAAAAAAAAAATTCATATTACTAGAACATATTGGTATTGAAGGAACTAGATACTGTTGCGAAATATCACTTACTCGAACCGTCCTGACCGCATAGCTCAGTTGGAAGAGCATTGGGCTAGTATTCCAAAGGTCGTAGGTTCGAATCCCACCGTGGCCGGGCATGTTTTTCAAGCTCGCCCGGTGTGGATATGCACTCAGAGTAACATCACAAACATATTATTCACCTGAGTACACAACACCAGCACAGAAAAAAATATTCATATTACAAGAACACCTTGGTATTGAAGGAACTAGATACTGTTCCGAAATATCACTTACTCGAACCGTCCTGACCGCGTAGCTCAGTTGGAAGAGCATTGGGCTAGTATTCCAAAGGGCGTAGGTTCGAATCCTACCGTGGCCGGGCATATTTTTGAAGGTCGCCCGGTGTGGATATGCACTCAGAGTAACAGCGCAAACATATTATTCACCTGAGTACACAACACCAACACAGAAAAAAAAAAAATTCATATTACTAGAACATATTGGTATTGAAGGAACCAGATACTGTTCCGAAATATCACTTACTCGAACCGTCCTGACTGCGTAGCTCAGTTGGAAGACCATTGGGCTAGTATTCCAAAAGTCGTAGGTTCGAATCCTACCGTGGCCGGGCATATTTTTCAAGGTCGCCCGGTGTGGATATGCACTCAGAGTAACAGCGCAAACATATTATTCACCTAAGTACACAACACCAACACAGAAAAAAATTCATATTACTAGAACATATTGGTATTGAAGGAACCAGATACTGTTTCGAAATATCACTTACTCGAACCGTCCTGACCGCATAGCTCAGTTGGAAGAGCATTGGGCTAGTATTCCAAAGGTCGTAGGTTCGAGTCGGGCCGTGGCCGGGCATGTTTTTTAAGCTAGCCCGGTGTGGATATGCACTCAGAGAAACATCGCAAACATATTATTCACCTGAGTACAGAACACCAACACAGAAAAGAAAAAAATTCATATTACTAGAACATATTGGTATTGAAGGAACTAGATACTGTACCGAAATATCACTTACTCGAACCGTCCTGACCGCGTAGCTAAGTTGGAAGAGCATTGGGCTAGTATTCCAAAGGTCGTAGGTTCGAATCCTACCGTGGCCGCGCATGTTTTTCAAGGTCGCCCGGTGTGGATATGC